CAATTGGAAGAGCATAGTCGATGTCACTGAACTGTGCATGTAGAAATTTTTGAAATGGTGTATCTTTGGCTATGTATATTTTCACCAAAAAAAAAAAAAAAAAAGGTCGAGAAGGGAGAGGGTTGACATGTCGTGGGGTTGTTAACCAATGTCGTAAAACAATGTGTACTACTGTTTTATGAGAAACTATTTGTTCTGTAAACCTTCACCTGAAGTACAATAAATAAATAAATATAAGTTAGTCGTGCTACGTTATCAGGTAAAGCTCTTAATGTAATTGTGGATTGGGGGCGGGGATTAGGCAGCCAAGCTTGTTTATTATTCAGTAATATTCAGTATCAGGTGCTTACTCTGTACCAAGTTCTGGGCTGAACGCTGGGATTCAAGAACCACGGAAGGTATGATCTTTGCCTCCAGGAATGTTCAGTCTGGTGGAGAAGATTGAAAACGGTGATGAGAGTGGTTAGCAGGACCACCCAACTCAATATTCAGGTGGTGAAGTGGGTAGAGAGGCTTCCTGGAGGAGGCCTGCACCATGGAATCAGGCTGAACATCACATAGGATGTGAGAGAAAGGAGTGAAGGCTGACAATCCTGTGGATGGTCAGTCGATGGTGGTACTGAAAGGGAGGCTGAGGAGTGTTGATGATTCGGTTTTGGACGTGTGGATTTCAGCATGCCAGGTGAAGATGTCTAGCAGGTTGTTGGGGTCACAGACATAGAAGTTTGGAGAAGGAGCTGGATGCTTCATTTGCGTTAAATCTGCTATCCTAATTTTTCACCAAATCCCACTCTCATAGCCTCATTCAGTCTTCTCTACAAGACTGAATGTTCCTTGAGGCGAACATCATACCTTTCTTGGTTTTTTAATCCCAGTCAATAATGTATTCTCTTAGTTAATTTGTGACAACTATTAGTCTTGATGGTCAACGGTCTTTTTTCATTTCTGTAGGAGCCACCCAGGGGACACAAGGTACATGTTCCTATATTTCTAAGGATTTCTTTTCTTTTCCTCTGACAAGCAGGCCTCTTTCCTACCTTTGCGTTTAGGTCAAAAGCACCAGTAGCTACTACCAGATAGACATTTTTCTGTAGCTGAGGAGAACAGTGAAGAAGCTAAGAGAGTATTCTAAACAGTGGGGAAGATCTCTTAAGATAGCTGCCCTTGTTCCTGCTCCAGAGTTCTCTTGCTCATCATCCTGGGACTTAGGGTAAAAGATGTGACCTCTGGGTAAAAGATTCTTATACATCCATCATCAGTAAGGGAATACGTGGTCAGCACCTAGGCTTTGGGGTGGAGCACTCTTCTTTCTTCTCTGGACCCACAATGGCAATGTTTGCATGTGATACTTTCTTGGTTTGTGTACAAGTGACATAAAAATAGATGGATTTTTCTACTTAAAAGTATCCTCTTATAGAGGGTACAGAATGAGCCTTTCGGGAAGTTGCATTTTTAATCTTTTAATGAGAATTGCTCTTTGGTTTGTGTTTTAGGTTCACAATATCCACCTAAATCATTTCAGAGGACAACCTTGACTTCAAGAAAGAGATTCCAAGTGGCATCTTGATTTTCCTTCTCTGAACTACAGCACTGATGGGCACATTGAAGCAGAAGCCCACCATTTATCACTTGAAAAATGGGACGACAAGTATTATCGTATGTATCTGCTTGTCAGACAGTCAGAGATTGAGACTTTATCTACCTGAGAGAAATGCAAGCAAATAACTTCATTTTGAACCACGGAGTGAAATAGCCTTGCATTATAAAGGGAATACAAGTCAAAACATCAGCCTTCTTCTTTACGGAACACATCCCAGAGGTTCTTCTGACTTTGCTCAGAAGATGCTAATATGTGTTTATAATCCATCATTTCACCAATTACACACACAAATAATTCCAATGTGTATGTATTCACACACTAAATGTATAAGAGTATACTGTCTAGGAATATTTCATTTTTGTAACTGTCTCAATATTTTTTGCACTTCTTTCTGCTAATAACTCCATCAGAATCCTAGTGCCTAATAGGTATTACTTCCTTCTTTAAAAAATAGCACTAATCTTTGATAAAATATGTCCGTCTAAACAAGGGCTCAGAATATTCTAATCATTATGCTGATTTATGTATACTTTTTTAAAACAGTGCTTCAGTCCTGAACCTCTTTGAGAAATACCAGTGAATAATTCTTCCAATTTGACTTTGTCTTACTAGTTTTCATTTTCAAATTCTGGCAGTGCATTTAAAATTATCCCAAATGTATTGATACTTAAAGGGAGATGTAAACATCAGAAGTGAAATGTATTACATGTGGTTGCACGCTGATTGTCACCATCGGCGTATCCATCCGTTCAAGGGAGGGCTTTGCAGCAGCACCTCCTGGCTTACCACCGTCTGCTCTTCGCCGAAGTGTCTTCTCAGCAGTAAAGCTGTCCCCGACCCCTCCATCTAAACTAGCTGCTCTCTTCCCTCTCTGTCCTTTGCCCTGCTCTATTTATTCATTGTTTTCAACAGCATGTTATCCTTTCTGACATTAATGTAGAAAATGGCATAGAGAATGTGGAGGAAAAAATTACCCATCAGAGGCAAGGCTCTAGGTAGTTTTTCTTTTGTCCCCCATTGTTTTCTTCTCAGTGGTTTCAATCCTTAGATTCACTGTGATGCTTTCAGCTCACCAAGTCAGCATAATTTCTTCCTTTCTATCAGATAAATTACTGTATTCTATCAATCCCATCTGTATTAATCCAAAATGAAAATGTATACATGTATACCATATAAATATATAACAGACTATTTTCAGGCTTACTTTTGGTTGTAAGAAAGGGGATCATTGGCTCCTTATAGATGTCTGTAAATTCAAAAGTGTGTTGAGACCAGAATTTGTGTTGTTCTTCATCACAGAGGGACAAAACCAAAATGGCCCTAGAGTCTTGCCTCTGATTGATAATTTCTCTGTTACATGCTCTACTCCATTTTCTATATTAAGGGACATTTTAGGGAGTAGGCATGAGGGTGATCACTGTGTCCATACCTCCTTTGTTCGGCCACAGCCCCATAACACTAAAGAATATTCCTAGTGCTTAGCTACCCACACAATACAGACCAAAGCATTTTGAGATTTTCCTACATTTTTCCAAAACATTGGAAACTTTTAAAGAGAAAAGTCCACCTTAATGTAGCAGTTATCAAACCTGCGGGAAATTCTTGCCATATAAGCAGTACAGAACCCCTGCTCGTAAGGGTCACCGGTAAGGTGCTTTCTGGTCCATAATTCCTGCTAGACATGCCCTTTCTACCCAGAGCTGTTTAGGACATTTATATCAATTTCCAGGGCCCATCCAGATCCTTCCTAATCAGCCCAGACTGCTTAGAAGGGAAAATGATTGACAGGCAGCCTAAACTAACAGGAAGTTAGGGTAAACCAAAAAAAAAAAAAAAAAACTGCCATCAAGTTGATTCTAATTCATAGCGCCCCTATATGACAGAGTAGAACTACCCCATAGGGTTTCTAAGAACGGTTGGTGAATTCAAACTACCGACATTTTGGTTAGCAGCTGAGCTCTTAACCACAGTGCCACCAGGGCTCCGAAGTTAGGGTACCAAAAGAAACCCAAACCAGTTGCCATTGAGTCAATTACAACTCATAGCTACCCTATAGGACAGGGTAGGACTACCCCATAGAGTTTTCAAGGAGCAGCTGGTGGATTCTACCTGTTGACCTTGTGGTTAGGAGCAAGCTCTTATCCAAGATAAATTATTTTTCCTTGGAGGAGAACCACTAAATACATTTTTATGGTAGACTTACCTTGTTTGACTTGAGTTTTGCAAATAAAAACCTATCATTATACATATTGTTAAAATGATACTTTAAAAAACATAACCAAGTACAATGATCTTGAATCATATCTTCTAAACATCTTTGACTGGGAGGTAAAATACCATTTTATAGAGTCCATGAGGACTTGGCTCTGCTACTAATTTTTAAAAATGACTTTCTCATAGCACATATTTGGACACCTGTATTACAGATAGTTAATTTTTAGGTTGAGATGGTGCTTTTAAGACTGATTAGGTAAAAATTAAGAGTGTTTTTATAATATTCTGCTTTGACAAATGAGTCTGATCTGAGAATTTTTCTGTTAAAAATTGAAAGATCAAATTGAATTATTTCTGAAATCAGTTTTTAAATTCAAGTTAGTGACTACATTAATTAGAATGTTTGTTATTTTATTCAAAATAGGAATGAAGGAACTTAAAATTAATCTGGCTAAGAAAATGTAAAAGACTATAGGAAACTGCTAGATTTTGTAAATCTAATATAAAAGGAAGTATCCATGTTAATGTTATTCTGAACTGGAATGGGACTGCTATACAATTAAGGTGTATGTTTTGTAATATAATGAATCATTTGGGTATTATATTTTTTATTGTCAGTGTTTTTTTATGACTACAGATCATTGTTCAGATTTTTAAGTGTTTTTTATTTTTAATAAAATATAAAAGTGTTGACAGAGTTTTCAAAAATTAATTACAGTTATATAAGCTTCCTTCGGTTACTAATTTTTGTATAATCTGTGCAAATGTCTCTCTTCTCTGCAGTGTCTAATATACAGGTTATTTGTTCATTTATTTCTAACTTGAGCAAAGACTCTCGAAGGTGAATTTAAGCCATGTAGCTATCAGGAAAAATCAATTCTAGGCAGAGGAAAAAACACGCAGGCCTACAATAGGAACATACCTGGAAGGTTTGAAAAACAACAAAGATGCCAGAGGGACATGGAAAGGGATTAGCAAGGGGGTGAATAATAGGGCTGAGATCAGGAAGGTAACAGGAAGCAAGGGATTAAGGTCTTTTATGGACTTGTGGGAAAGAGTAAGCAATCTGAACTAGGAAGACACTGGAGAGTTTTGGAGTGATGTTCTCCAACAAGAGCTGTGTTTCACATCAAATGGTAGTGGTACAGGAGGTGAGGAGTCGAGGGCTTTGGGGTATGTTTTGGAATTAGAGCCAACAAGATTTGCTGTTGGATTAGTTATGGAGCGTGAACAAAAGAAAAGTCAAGAATGACTCCAAGGCTTTTGGCTTAAAAACTTCAGAAGGATGGAGTTGACTTTTACCGAAATTGGAAAGACTACACAAGAAGCCACTTTGGGGGCGTTTTGGGATATCTCGTGTTTGAGATGCCAGTCAGACGTCTGAGGGCAGTGACGGTTCAGTGGTAGAAGTCCCTCCTGTGTGGGACACCCAGGCTCAATTCCCGGCCAATGCACCTCATGTACAGCCACCATTGGAGGCTTGTGTGCTACTATGATGCTGGACAAGTTTCAGCGGAGCTTCCCGACCAAGACATATTAGGAAGAAAGGCCTGGTGTTCTCCTTTCAAAAAACAAGCCAGTGAAAACCCTATAGATCACAACAGTCTGATGTTCCATTGTGCATGGGGCCCCCCTGAGTCAGGGACTAGCTTGACAGCATAACAACAAAATTAGGTAACTAAGTGGAAATGTTGAGGTATTTGGGTATTCAAGATTAGTGTTTAGAGAAGAGGTGCAGACTGGAGATATAAAGTTGGGAATTGTCAGCATGAAGATAGTATTTAAGTCAAGAGACAGATTTCATCACCAAAAGAATGTAGAAAATGGAAGAAAAAAGAGTTCTGAGCCCTGGGCATTCTAGCATCTAGAGGTCTAGAATGTGAAGAAAAACCAGGATAGACTGGCAAAGAATAGCAGGTAAGGGAGACAGGAAATCAAGAGTGGAATTCTCAAAGTCAAATGAATCACAAAGTTTTTCAAAGAGGTGACTGTGACTTTCAAATATGTTGAATGCTGTTGACAGATCAATTTAGATAAGGTCTGAGAATTGACATAAAGATCTAGCCACATAGCCTTCATTGATGACCTAGACAAGATCATTTTCAGTGGAAGGAACAAGAGAAAAGACCAATTGCAGTGGTTTCAGGAGAGGAGAACAATTGAAGACAGGAAGTACAGACAAATATCTTAAGGAATTTTTCAGGAATGGGGAACAGAGAACTGGATCTAGAGGGAAACGTGATTCAAGAATATATTTCAGATGGGAGAAATTGCAACATGTTCTATACTGTTGGCGATGATGCAAGAGAGTGGAAACCTGATAACACAGGAGGGGGAAGTTGCCAGAGTGCTGTCCTTTGGAGAGCCCGAGCGGATGGCAGGATCTGAGAGAGGAGCATGTTCCGCTGAAAACCAATTTTGAATCATTTACAAGTCTTTTTACCAAAAATGTGATAATTTACTTTTTCTAACAAAATTGAAACGAAAAAAGCTTCATACTCCACGTATCTTTTCAGTAGATTCTCCCTTGAAGCTTTCTGTAGAGAAGCTTCAAGTTTTAGAAAGAGAACTACCCTGTGATCCAGCAATCTCACTTCTAGAGATCTAAAAGTAGTGACACGAACAGACATGCACACCTGTGTTCACTGCAGCTTTATTCACAATAGTAAAAAAAATGGTAACAACCAAAGTGCCCATCAACGGATGAATGGATGACCAAATGTGGTAGATACAGACAACGGAGTATTATGCAACCACAAAGAACAATGATGAGTTGGTGAAATTTACTACAACATGGATAGACCTGAAGGGCATAACGCTTAGTGAAGTAAGTCAAGCACATAAGGACAAATATCGTATGATCCCTCTTTTATAAGAAGACAAGAACAAATATACATAAAGAAACTAATGTTCATTGGTGGTTACCAGGAAGAGGTAATAATCTAATTTAAAGATCTTTTTCATATTGGAAACAATTCTTGAACCCTTTGCCCCCTTGCCAGGTTTAGAGTATTTCTTGGCTCAGCTCATCACCTGTGCCTACGTGGAGCACAGCCTTTTGTCCGCTTCCTGATGCCAGCAGTTGTGTTATATTCCTTCGCATTGTCTACGGAGATCAGCAGAGAATCAGATAGATACAAATCTTGTACTTTTATAGCTGTAATAGACCTTGTAATGGAGCTCTGTTGGCGCAAAGGTTAAGCGCCCAGATGCAAACTGGAAGATGGGCAGTTTGGACCCACCCAGCCATTCCACGGGAGAGAGACCTGGCAATCTGCTCCTGTAAAGACAGCCAAGAAAAGTCTATGGGGCAGTTCTTCTGTCACGAGGTCGCCATGAGTTGGAAATGGACTCAATGGCGCCCAACAACAACAGTGGACCCTTTAGAAAAGAGGAAACTAAAGGCCAGAATATATAAAGTATGAAATACATTTAAAAAATGATCTGATGTACAGTGATTAAGTGTCTTAGTCATCTAGTGCTGCTATAACAGAAGTACCACAAGTGGATGGCTTTTAACAGAGAGAAATTTATTCTCTCACCATCTAGTAGGCTACAAGTCCACATTCAAGGCATCAGCTCAAGGTGAAGGCTTTCTCTGTCGGCTCTGGAGGAAGGTCCTTGTGACGTATCAGTCTTCCCTTGGTCTGGGAGCATCTCAGCGCAGGAACCTTAGGTCCAAAGGACTCGCTTTGCTCCTGGCACTGCTTTCTTGGTGGTATGAGGTCCCCATGTCTCTCTGCTCACTTCTCTCTTTTATATCTCAAAAGAGATTAGCTTAAAACACAATCTAATCTTGCAGACCTCATCAGGATAACTGCCATTAATCCATTTTATTACATCATAGTGATAGAATTTACAACACATATGGAAATTACATCAGATTACAAAATGGAAGACAATCCTACAATAGTGGGAATTATGACCTAGCTAAGTTGACAGGTATTTTTGGCGGACACAATTCAATCTATGACATTAAGCAATATGGAAGTGAATAAAGTATAAATTTCTCTTCTGTGCTCTCACTCCGGAATTGGTATCTCTCCAGACTTTTGTCTAACTGCATAAAAATTTTTTCTCCCAAAGCTGGAATTATGTTTTATACTGTTCTGCAACTTGGATGTGTTTCTTTTCACTTACTGTTTCACCAACCCCTTTCCCCGTCGGCACGTAGAGATGATTTTAAAAACTCAATCCAAGAAAAGCCTTAGGCTTGCTTTCCTCTGCATCAAAGAGGCTCTGCAGGTAGGCGGCTGTGAGCAACCGCAACAGTAGCTACCAATGATTTAATCGATTTCAGCAAAGCAGGAGTCCGAGCATTCTCAAGGATTCCATCTTCCAGGTCACTTCAGCTACAGCTTTATTGTTGTGTGCTCTCCAGTCGATTCCAACTCATACCGACCCTATATAACAGAGTAGAACTGCCCCATAGGGTTTCCTAGGCTACAATCTTCATGGGAGCATATGGCCAGATCTTTTCTCCCGCAGAGCAGCTAATGCTTAGGGACCTACTATTAGGAAAGGGCCCCTCCTCGCCTAGCCACTTTGTAAGAAGTATCACGTGTAGACAAGGGAACTCGACCCAGGATCGGGCACCTCCACCTGGAGGAGAGAGAGAAACTGGTAGTCAGAGAACACAGCCCTCGGGCGAATGAGGGCATCCTTTCAGAGGAAATTTGAACAATATCCGGATCACAACCACCTCATTTAGTTCTCCAGTGTCTCAGCCAGAGTCCTCTCATACAACCTGAGAACTGGGTTCTTTAGGGTTGTGTCCCCAAAGCTACACTAGGTCAAAGCAGGCGACTGCTCTCAATGGCCAGGAAGCAGAATCCAGGATACAAGCCTCCGCGGGCAGCCAATCCCGGCAGAGGACCGCAGCACTGCCGGCTGCGCAAGGCAGTGTGCGGTTAGATACCTGGAAAAAAAGAACGAAACAGGCTTCAAAGGCTGGCTTTCAACCCAGATGCCTCTTTATTATAATTTGAAAACAGACTTCTCACCGCAGCCAAAATCCCCTACCTCCGGCAGCCGGGTCCTGAAGCCCATGCTCAGCACCCCCAGGCCCTTAGGGCGCCCGAGGCTGTTGCTCGCGACAAGTCCTAACCTCCATCCCAAAACTGCCCCAATATTTAACCTCCCTTCTCCTCCCTGCCACCCCAAGTGTCTTCTCTTGCGTTCAGGACGGCCTGTGGAGCCCCAGAGGCCGCTTTCCGGTCTTTCGCGCTCAGCTTGAACCGAGCCCCGAGGCCTCGGCGCATTGCGCAGGCTTCGCGGCTCCCGGTACCTCCCTCGCGGCGCTTTCCCCGCCAGCCTGCGCGGCTCAGAGCTGACCCAGGGCCTCGGCAGCCCCCGCAGCCGGGGTCGCCGGTCCCGAGGCGGGCGCTTCGGGGCAGCGGGGCTGCGCCCACCCCGGCCCCCGGATGGAGACGTGAGCTGGCTGCGCCCCTGCTCCCGAGC